TGTAGAGAGAGCTTTACTCTGTATCTAACCCCGTGCTGTCCCTGTCCTGGGAGGGTTTGATGTGGGGGACAGTGTAGAGGAAGCTTTACTCTGTATCTAACCCCGTGCTGTCCGCGCCCTGTCGCTGACACTGGGTATAAAGTTGGGGGAGACAGCAGGGCGGTGAAGTACAGCAAAGGGATTGATGGATGGCTGTACCTATTGAGGGGAGCCTGCAAACTACACAGTCATTGCAGGCTGATATTCCTGAATGTCCGAGATAACAAGGTGTAGAGCTGGATGAACACAGCAGGCCAAGCAGCATCAGAGGAGCAGGAAGGCTGACGTTTCGGGCCTGGACCCTTCTTCAGAAAAAATGTCCCCCTGGTGACCCTGCAGTCAATCTATGAATATCGATGGCAGTTGTTGAAATCTCCAGAGGGTGAGCTGAGGAGATCTGACGTTACACACAGAGAGTCCTAGTGATCTGGAACACGAGGCCAATGGAATGTGCCCCAATCTTCTCAAAAGAGAACTGGCTCCATCCACGTACAGGGAAGTAAAGGCCTGCTGCGTAACACAGCAAGGGAAGGGTGAAGGATAGCACCTTTCAAAAGTGGGCTGAATGGCCTTCTCTACTGTATCATTCTGTAATTCTGCGCCAGGTGGGGGGGCAGAGGGAGGGAAACAGGTGAGGAGAGAGGAGATCTCACTCTTGGTGGCATGGTGGCCCAGGGGTTAGCGCTGCTGCCTCACAGCACCAGGGACCTGGGTTCGATTCCACCCTCAGGCAACTGTCAGTGTGGAGTTTGCACATTCTCCCTGTGTCTGCATGGGTTTCCTCCAGGTGCTCCGGTTTCCTCCCACAGTCCAAAGATGTGCAGGTTAGGGTGGGTTCGCCGTGCTAAATTGTCCCGTCGTGCCCAGGGATGTGCAGGTTAGGGTGGGTTGGCCGTGCTAACTTGTCCCGTAGTGCCCAGGGATGTGCAGGTTAGGGTGGGTTGGCCGTGCTAAATTGTCCCGTAGTGCCCAGGGATGTGCAGGTTAGGGTGGGTTATAGGGGGATGGGTCTTTGTGGGGGATGCTCTGAGGGTCAGTGTGGACGTGTTGGGCCGAAGGGCCTGTTCCCACACTGTAGATATTCTATGAACTATTCCCAGAGAGATTGAAGCCTGGATCAGCCGTGGGGCTGAGAGGGAGAAGTGGGGGCAGAGTGGGGGACACAGGCATTGAGTTGGACAGGACGGGACAGAGAGCAGAAGGCAGAGAGCGTGGGAGAGGACGTCGATACGGGGAAATGAGAGAGGAGTGGAGTGTTTGGTCGGGATCTGTGCACCAGGAATTGTTCTTGGAAACAGAGAGTGCTCCCATCGTCACAGAGTGTGGTGGACAAACATGCAAGAGGTGTCAGGGTCAAACTTGCTGCTGTGATCCAGAGCACACTGCCTGACAAAAGCTGATTGAAAAGCAACCTTTAGAGCAGATAATAACCTGAAGGGAAATATTTATAGGGCTATGGGCAGGGTACAGACGGCAGGACACATTGAATAGAATGACACATATGAGGTTAGATAAAGCTCTCTCTACACTGTTCCCCCACAAACATGCCCAGGACAGGGACAGCACGGGGTTAGATACAGAGTAAAGCCCCCTCTACACTGTCCCCATAAACGCACCCCAGGACAGGGACAGCACGGGGTTAGATACAGAGTAAAGCTCTCTCTACACTGTCCCCATAAACACACCCCAGGACAGGGACAGCACGGGGTTAGATACAGAGTAAAGTTCCCTCTAGACTGTCCCCATCAAACACTCCCAGTTTAGGGACAGCATGGGGTTAGATACAGAGCAAAGTTCCCTCTAGACTGTCCCCCCATCAAACACTCCCAGGACAGGGACAGCAAACATACAGGAACAGAGTAAAGCTCCCTCTACATTTCCCATCCACTTCTGACTCAGAAACACACTTGCTGTACCAGCTCCCCATTCTAAACCCTTTGCTAGTGGGGAGGGGAGAGACTCCTGTTGCGTCTCACAGCCAGTATGGGTGCAGGCTCCCTGAGGCTACCAGCTGTGAATGTGACCCACTGTAGCATCCTGTATCTGCAACGGCAGTTCCATTTACCCAGGCTTCTCTCGCAATTTTTGGAGAGAGTCCTCAATTGCTATTGCAGATGAGATACACACAAGGCTGGATATTGCTGGATCTTCAGTGAATTTTCCTGTTTATATTAAAATAATAATTATTGTTAAAACTGAAGTGGAATTTCTTAATATATTCAAATAATTTGTGAAGAGATCTGCTTTGTAACTGAATGTAATTATATATTATGAAGTAAAATATTATTAAATGTGAAGGATCACTGGTGTGTTCTGATATTTCATTGGGCTTTGTAAGTATTGTCCTGTGTCCTCTTCATTTATAATGGAATCATTGTTACTGTTTACCTCCATTACTGATTTGAGGATAATGCGAAATTAATAGTTAATACACTCTATTGAAGGCAGCACAGGACTAAGAGCAGGCCATTTGGCCCACTGAGCCTGCCTCGGCATGTAACAAGGCTGAGTGAGCCCTTCAATACATTTCACCCACACTATGAGATAGTAGGAACTGCTGATGCTGGAGAGTCTGAGATAACAAGGTGTGGAGCTGGATGAACACAGCAGGGCCAGGCAGCATCACAGGAGCAGGGGTCCAGACCCGAAACATCAGCTTTCCTGCTCCTCTGATGCTGCCTGGCCCTGCTGTGTTCCTCAAGCTCCACACCTTGTCATCACCCACACTATGCCCATAACCTTGCTCTCTGCTGGTAGCCAATTTCTACCTTAAATATCCTCAAAGACTGAGCTTCCTCTGGGGTAGAGAAATTCCAAAGGTTCACCATCCACCCCGAAATAATTTCTCCCAAACTCAGACAAAATGGCCCCCCCCATTTTTATATTCCCCCCCCCCCCCACCATGTTAGACTCACCAATAGGAGCTATCTTACCTGCATTGATACTGTCTATCCCCTTCAATATCCTATTGGTAATGTACCACCACAGCAGTGCCCCCTCAATGAAATCTATATGAGATACAAGTATAATGCTCGCACATCAAATACTTCTTTGGTAGATACAGACTGTAGACAGGTTTACCTGCTCCCAGCACCAGGTCAGGATTGGAGCTTAGATCTTTCCTGCTCTGTGTGCCCTGAGGGGCTGTGACCTTCCAAACCCACGACCACTTCCATCTCGAAGGACAAGGGGCAGCAGATACATGGGAACACCACCCCGCTGCAAGTTCCCCTCCGAGCCACTCACTTGGAAATATATCGGCCGTTCCTTCGGTGTCGCTGGGTCAGAATCCCTGGAATTCCCTCCCTAAGGGGACATGGTGGGTCAACCCACAGCACATGGACTGCAGCGGTTCAAGGAGGCAGCTCACCCCCACCTTCTCAAGGGAGGGGGCAATTAGGGACGGGGCATTCCAGCGACACCCACGTCCCGTGAGTGAGTTATTTAAAACAAGACACCACCCACCCTGGGCTGGAGTCACTTCCACTCTTACCACTGATTGACTCCCATTGGGAGATAATCAATCGAATAGTTTTTTTTCCACATTTTGACTGCGTTTTCTACGGCCGTCGTGTCCTGGGGTGGGATTCGAACCCAGGTTTGGGGATGGGGCGGGGGAGGTGGAAGAGAGTGGCCCAGACACCAGGCCAGGAGTCCTATCGCAGTAGTTGGACGGCCGAGTGGGAATTGAATACAGAGCAGGCTTCCCATTCCAGGAACCGAGGTAAAGTATGTTCGTAAAGGAGCCATCATAAATCTGCATAGCGACAAAGCCTCTGGGTGCGAGCTTTAGTGCCCCTGCCTCTGAGTCAGGAGAGGCCCCGATCTCATCCCACCCCCTCCAGCGGTTGGGGAAGCAGATGGCTGCAGCAGGTCGATTTGGAAAATATCCGTGACAAAGGCCCCTGGAACCATAAAGGGAGAATAAAGCACTTGTTTTCTCTGAGGTACAATCAGTCAGATAAAGACGGAGTCAAAGCATACATATTCCCTTTGACCAAGCCCAACTCAATTCATAAATTATCGCTACAATTTGCTATCACTGAAGGAGGTGACCATGAAGGATTGTCCTTCTCAACCCTCACCTTGAGGCATGGTGACCCTCAGGTTAAACCCCCCCATCAGCCATCTCTCTCTCTCTCTGATGTGAGAGCAGCCCGGGGGTCCTCCAGGATTACAACGCCTTTCCCTTTACCGTTACACCTCAGT